ACATTTAATTTTGCCTTGGATGTAAGGGTAGTGAATGAGAAGTTGATATTGCACTTGATGCTTGAAGGATTTGGCAGATATCAGGAAGTTGGGAGGTTGTAATTGATGAAGGAATTACAGAATGACGGGCCCAAATAAGCAAGGTTTACTAGGTATGAAAGTATACAAAATGTAAGGTGCTTAGCAACTATTTTTGTTCCTAAGATGCTTAGGAACAAAAATAAACGGTGTCCTGGTGTTGACACTGGAATGGTCCTGGGGTTGATATCTACCTTTGATTTGTGTTTTAGAAAAACACTGGTTAAAAACTTTTACAAATAGTAAAATTTTCTACTAAAATAAGAAATTACTGTGTGTTTGAGATGTTTCAATGGAACTTTTCTATTTTTAGATTTTATTGTTTGCTTCAGTTGATGGTCTTATGATAGTCCTTTAATCTTTTGATAGCTCTTATCTACTAAGAGTTAAGATGACTATATCTATGTTTTCAAATTCAGTGCAGTTAAGGGTTTTGCAGTCTGTAGCATATTGTAAAATGGAATATTTTCTCAAAAAGACAAGGCATAGAAGTATTTAAAATTCTCTTTTATCTCTACTTAAATTATTTGAGGAATCAGGTTCATAGTAGACAGATCTGGGGGTCGCTTTAAGAAAAGATTTTCATCCCCAACAGAGAATCAGTGAAGATCCATTTATTCTTACCACATATGGTAATATATAAGCCCCTCATTTACTAATACTTTCCTTTTATGTTATGATCGAATGACAATTAATTTGACCAGTCTGTATTTCTTTCAAAAATTTATCTCTCAGAAACTGTCAGAACATAGGGCTTAATCTAGCATTTTAAAAGTCAACAGAGTATAAAAGTGAGGATTTAAATTTTTTATTATTTTAAAACTAGACAAGGGTTTGGAAGGTTGGGAGCCTAAGTGTGTCTCTTTTAATCTGAGGATCCATATATTCCTGGAAACAATATGTCCTGGATTCCTTTGAGGTCACAGTTGGAGATTTTCAAATATGAGACTTACAACGAGGTAGAAGGCACATCAAGGTTAGTATATTGACAGAGTCTAAATCATCCAGGGATCAGAGTGCAATACCTCATGGGCTTTCTGATACTTAGGGCTGACTAAGAAATGACCAGTGAAGCTGAGATTTAGAGTTGACAAGGATGATAGCTTGGAGGCAAACTATATTGACTGAATGTCACCAGACCCTACCTTTCTCGTGTTGCTTGGAGAAGCCAGGTAAACATACAGGATACGTCAGGGTTTCAAACTGCAGATACAGTTTATAGAGAAGTAATCATCCAAAGCCAGATTTTTCATAAAGTGAACATAGGAAACACCATTGCCAATATTGTATTCATGTCTTCTAAAATGCTAATACATGTCCAGTGCTTCAAAAATGAACAAATTGGATCTTGGCATCCAATGAGTCCATGAATAATTTAATATAAAGTTACAGCATTCAAAACTGGTTTCATAAAACAGTGGCTTGGGATATTTTTTTTTCTGATGTACTTGAGAGTTGCAAAAATAATCTCTTTACCTCTAGCTAGTTCCTTGAAACATAGACATTCTCTTACATGACCACAGTATAATTCTTCAAATCAGGAAATTAACTCCAATAGCAGCTAATTCACAGATCTGATTCAAACTTGGCCAATTGTCCCAATAATATTTTTTCAAAAAAAAAGTTTCTCCCTGGTCCATTATCCCAAGATCACATGCACTAAACTGTCGTATTTCTTTAGTCTTCTTTAATCTGGAACAGTTTCTTAGATTTCTTTGTCTTTCATGGATGTGATGCTTTGGAAGAGTACTGGGTAGTCATTTTGTAGCATGTCCCTCACTTTATGTTAGTCTGGTGTTTCTTTATGATTAGTTTCAGGTATGCATTTTTGTCAGGAATATCACTGAAGTGATTTTGCATGATATACTTTTAGAAGAAGCAATTACTAGATAGACTGTCATTTGAGGTTTTCAGGAAATGTTGCCAAATAACGGCCCCTTCTTGTTTTTGAAAAAGTGAAACAAGGATAAATAATACTGTGAAAAAAATGCATCTCTGCAACTTACTCGCCTCTTAATTCTCTACGTAGTTGGATATTTTTCCTTTAAATACAAGAGGTCCTCACCCCCCACCCCCCGTGGCTATATTTAACAGCACAGAGTTTTCTATCTAAAAGGGTAGTATACTCACACATTGAGACAGTTTAGGTCTACATAACCCAACACGATGCTCAAGTGAGTGGATGTTCTTAAAATTCCCAATGTGTATCACATTCCTAAGAAAGTAATTCAATACAAATGAAACAGAGAATAAAGTTTGAAGAATTGGAAGGATTTATATTCCTACACTGTGATCAAGGATAAGATGATCACAGCATTTCCCTGCACAAGTCATTTTAAGTACCTCTTTTACTTCGTAAAAGCAATAGGATGCCAGAATTAAACATACTAGCTTTGGAGACAGATTGCCCGGGTGGAATCCCCTGTCTATGATACCCTAATTGAAAGACTGTGGATCTCGCTAATCTCAGTTTGCCCATCTGGAAAGAGGACCATAATAGTACTGAATGAATGCAGTTAGAAAACATTAAATGGAAGAACGTAAGCAAATTCCTTATCATGGTTCCTGCCTTACTGCCATCACATGCAGCTATGGTCTAGTTCTGAATGAATTAGTTAAGATCCAGGCTTCTCCTCTTCTGTGATCTTGGGCAAGTACTTTAGTATCTCTAAAATCTGAAACTCTTATTTTGAAATGGAGATGATAGTACCTACTTTGTAGAGTTCTTACAAAGTTTAGTAATTGCATAACATATTGTTGCTATCTTAGTTATTAATATCTTTATTAATATTGTTAATATATTACTGTCTTTAAAAAAAAGTCTTTCTAGATGCTCAGTAGAAAATGCAGTGCTTTTATAACAATTTACAAATTTTAAAATTTTAAAATTAGAGAAAATTCTGGGACATAAACCTCTAGGGAATATTTGCTTTTCTTCCAAAATATATTGCTGAAAAAATTTCTTCAATAAACACGAGTATCTTATAGATAACCTCAGGTTTGTTTCATTGTTTGGATTATGCATGGATGTAGGAATTTACATTTTATTATTAATTACAGACATACATATTGACATTGAAAGGTATATAATTTAATGTTTAAATGTGGTAGAATAGGAATCATTATTACCTTAGCAAAATATCAAAGTTGTGTGTGTGTGTGTGCATGCATATGCATTTGTTATGTTGACTTTAAGTCTGCCAGTAGTGCATCTCACCAGGATTTTACCAGGCTTCGTTAATATTCCAGAGCAGTGGCTACTTAACTCATCTTATTAAACTGGACACTGGAATGTTCACTGCCATTGTCAACTGACAGAGACACTGTTCACCTATCACATCCAGAGGACTGGTGCAATACATTGCTTTTTTACTATCCCATAGAAAAATCCAGTCCGTGCAAGCCTCTCTCTCCTCTGTCTCCCATAGTTTGCTCAAGTCTTACCTTTGCCTGCACATCCAGGCCAAGCCCCACTATGCAGAAGAATCACTAGATCCTAGGGTTCTTTAGCATTTTTTGTAACATGGGCCCTTTGGTCAGCCTGGGTTTCATTTAATTTCATTTATCTCATTCTTTTCAATGCAGGAATAATTCTTATGATATCTACAGAAGTGGAACTCATTACTTTAGAAGACAGGTTATTCCATCTTCTGGGCAGCACAAATTGTTGGGAAAAGTTTTCCTTACACAGAATGTAGGTTGATTACTGTGTCATGAATTAGATTTTTAACTTGGGCAACCCATTTTTCAGTGTGTTTTTTAGACAACTAGGAATATTTTCCTTATCTAATTCAAAGGGTAGTTTCAATAATAAAATGATAAATGATAAAATAATAAAATATATCTCAAATTTATAAAATACTGAGCATTATAGGCTTTAAAATATTTAGAATAATTCCTAATTACTTTTTCCTTAGTTATTGCCCATTTCCTCTTTTTGTTCTTTTTGCTTTTATCAAATGTTTTATATAATTGATATAATTTGATCCACCTGAAAGTCCTCCGAGATAGGCAGGTCAGGAATGATATCCCCTGAGAACAGGTAAGGAAATTGACCCATGGGATGCTGAGTGACTTATCAGGGCTCCCGTAATTGCTACTATCGCAACAAAATTCTGCCTCCTGACTCCTGGGCCACTATTCTGAGCACATCACTCTGTTGTTTGGTGTGACTTCAAACCTTATAGCCTGCCAAGTCAATTCCATGAGTCAGTTAGGATATGTATTTCAGTGTTGAGAACAGTCAGTTCTCTAGCTAGAAACTGACTTGGCCATGCCTAACTTGAGTTTCACTTTCTCCCAGGAGACTGCTGTGGACTTTTTTGTAGTTCTTTAAGATCGGCAAAGCACCAGGAAGCAGGATAACAATTCTCAGATGTGTTAAAATTTTAAAGAGAACAATTAAGAAAATAGACATGGCTGGAATTTACAGACATATATAGTTTAAAAACTGCACAATTCCTTAACTCGTCTCCAAAGGATCATTTGAAATTCTTTTGTTTGTTTTTGTTTTACCTCCTCTATATTTCTGTTTGCTTTAGCAGCTGCTAAAATATAGTTCAACAATTTATCCTGTCTGGTTTAAGGTATATGATAATATCGTTTATCTGCCATCTGTTGCCTAGAATTGAAACAGATTTTCCTCATCTCCCTTTAGACTTACCTACCAATGTAGAGATTTTAAGGTAAATACTCTTTTTAAAATGTTTAATGGAACTTCCGGGGAAGAATTCATTTGGACCCACCAAAACTCCTATTGAGTTGTGAGATCTTTGTTTTATTCAATAATTCATGAACTTTTGTAAAACACCTGATTACTGATATTGATATAAAACCCTATAATTCCAGTTTTATGAGACTTGATGATTATAAAAGCCATATTTTGCACCATTTCTGAACACCATTGACAGTATTACCAATGAGTTGTCAAATAGTTTGACAATTTTCAGTGATGGAAAACTTGCTGAAATCTAGACTTCTAATAATGTTCAAGCATTGAGAATCTCCTAGTCCTAATTCCTTATTACATATCTGAGAAAAATAATGGTCTGAGAGGAAAAAGAGGGATAGTGACCAGAATTCAGGTTTGAGTTATTAATTCACCCTGTTGTTTTGTTTTGTTTTGTTTTTCAGGAGTTATGTTATTAAAAGTAGCCTCTTAATAACCCTAAAGAATATTTTTAGTTCTGAAGTCTACTTTTTCTGATGTCAGTATAGCTGCTATGGTCTGCTTTTGATTAGTGTTAGTGTGGTATATCTTTTCTCATCCTTTTACTTTTAACCTATCTCTGTCTTCATATTCAAAGTGGGTTTCTTGGTTTGGCCTATGTTTTGGTCTCCTTTTTATATTATTCCATCTGACAATTTCTACCTTTTATCAGGGTATTTAGACCACTTAAATTTAATGTGATTATTGGTATGGTTGAGTTTAAATTTACCGTCTGGCTATTTCTGTCTAATAAATACATCAATTACTTGTTTCCTTTTTTATCTCTTATTCTGCTTTGTTTTTCTTTTTTGCAATGAGTATTTTTTATGATTTAATTTTATTTCCTTTTTGGCTAATTAGATATAATTCTTCTTTTTAAGTGGTTGCTTTAGAGTTTATGACACTTGTTTAATTCATCATAGTCCTTAAGTTAACATATTATTTCCACTGTGGCAAAAGAAACTTAGAACCATTTCCCCCATCTCAGCCTTTGTGCTATGTCCATCGTGCATTTTACTTCTGTAAATGCTGTAAACCACGCACTGCATGATTATTATTTTGGCTTTAAACTGACAATTATATTTCAAAGAGAGTTAAAAATAAATTGAAAAATCTTTGTATTCACCATTTCTGGTGCTCTTCATTCCTTTGTGAAAATGCAGATTTTCATCTAATATGATTTTCATTCTACTGAAGAATTCTTTTATTTACTTTTTGTAATGCAAGTCTTGGTGAGGAATTATTTCAGCTTGTATAAGTATGAAAAAATCTTGATTTCATTTTTGTTTTTTATTTTCCCTGGATATATGATTCAAGGTTTATAGTTTTCTTTTCTTTCTTTTTCTTCTTCTTCTTTGTTTAAAGATGCTGCTCCAGTGTCTTCTCACTGGCATTGACTCAAATGTGAAGTTTATTGTAATTCTTATCTTTGTTCCCCTGTATATAATGTGTCTTTTTGTCTCTGGCTCCTTTTCAGATTTTTCTCTTTATTACTGGTTTCAAACATTTTGAATGCAACATGCCATGGTGTATTTTTCTTCATGTTTCTTGTGCTTGTGAGTTGTGGAGCTTGGTAGATCTTGGGTTTATAGTTTCCATCAAATTTAGAAAAATTTTGGTCATTGTTTCTTCAAATCTTTTTCTGTTCATGACACCCCTCCTCACTTTTAAGGCCTCCACTTATATATTAGACAATTTGATAGTGTTCCACAGCTCATTGATACTCTGTTCATTTTTTTTTTTCAGTCTTCTCTGTTTTATTTTGAATAGTTCCTATTGGTAGGTCTTCAAGTTCACTACTATTTTTTTTTCCTGCACTGGCTAATATCATGTTAATATTATGCAGTGTATTTTTTTTGTCTCAGACATTGTATTTTTAATTTCTGTGGGTTGGTCTCTGCTTAATGTGTTCAATCTTTCTTTTTCCTTCTTGAACATATGGAATATAGTCATGATAACTGTTTTAAAGTCCTTATTTAGTAATTCTAACATGTATGTAATTTCTGGATCCATTCCTATGTATTGGATTCTCACATTATGGTGATATTTTCCTGCTTCTTTGCAAGCCTAGTCATTTTTTCAAACAGAATGACAGAAATGCCAAATACTACCTTGTTAGGCCCTGGACATTCTTGAACTTTCTTCTGAATTGCAGTTAATTTACTTTGAAACACTTTGATCCTTTCAAGGCTTGCTTTTAAGCTTTGCTGGATTAGACTAGAACTGCCTTTAATCTAGGGTTAAATTTTCTCCATTACTGTAGTCATGTCATTCAGAGCCCACTCCCCTATACCCTGGGACTTACAAGGTTTCCCATTTTGTCTGGTGGGATTATGAATTTTTGATGGCCCTGTGAGAGATAGGGTGATTATTCTAATTCTTTTGGGTGGTTCTTTGAAAATCTATGAAGAATCGGAGCTTTTGCTCTTCTTGCAAGCTAACAGTTTAACTGCCACAGTATCATGAATGCTAACAGAAGACACAAGATCCTGGACAGAGTTCACCAGTTCCCTGAGTCCCAGTTCTCACAGGATAATGTGAAGAGGATCAGGTGACTCCTGTATATGCAGTAGGTTACATTATAAGAGGAAAACCCTAAGTTTAGTGAATCTAGATCTTTTTTACTACACAATAAGCAAGCTTTTCCTTTGCTTCCAAGGGAGACATAACTATTTTCTAAGAGAGTTCAGTATAAAAACATCCTTGAAAAGATATACTAGCACAAAGGCAGTTAGTGAATCTGCTTGTAAGACATGGAAAAACAAAAGAGACTATTATGGACAGAATTATGTCCCCCTAAAATTAATCTGTTGAGGCCCTAATCCCCCATGTGACTTTATTTAGAGATAGAGCTTTTAAAGAAGTAATAAAGATTAAATGAGGTCATAAGGGTAGAGCTCTAATTCACTATGATGCATTACCTTACAAGAGGAGGAAGGGACACCAAGGATACACACTCACAGAGAAAAGACCATGGGAGGACAAAGCAAGAAGGTGGCCATTTACATGTCAAGAGAGAGGCCTCAGGAGAAACCAACACTGCTAGCGCCTTGATCTTGGGCTTCCACCTGCCAGAACTGTGAGGGAATAAAGTCACTCAATCTGTGGTTTTCATTATGGAAGCCCTGGGGGACTAATACTGAGACCCATGGAGAATTGTCTCTGAACAGTTCTTTCTCTGACATCAGGTAGTTTCCTCACATATATGCACTGACCTATAATTAGAAGACAACTTGAGGACCCTTTGCGGATCTCTGGAGTTCTCTCTTTGTGCAACTCTTTTCTCCCTGGTATACTGCCCTGAAAACCCCAGCTGCCTTGGTATGCCCAGATTCTAGCTCCACCTCCTCAACTCAGGGTGACCTCCTGGTTCTACCTAGGCTCTCCATCATTGTGCTAAGGCCTAGAAACTCTCTCTACATAGTAAGCAGATGTAGTCACAGGCTCACCCCATTGGATTTCCTGATCTTGGGATCATGGTCCTGTGCCACCTGATGTATAATGTCTAAACCATTTTTTCATACATATTTTCTGTTGCTTTTACTTGTATCATACAGGAAAGTAAATCCATTCATGGACAGAAGCTTCTTACCGTAAAAAAATAAATGTTTACTTTTAACCTAGGAAAGAATCAAAGCTGAATTGATAGTTGGAAAGTTAATAGATGCATTATAATTTTGATGTAACAACTTCTCAGACTTATGAATGCATATCAGATATCCTGAGCCTTTATAGTCTCATTTTCTCATTTACAGTAAAGTGAATAAAATAACTAAGCCTTCCAAATTGAATATTGGCATAGTTACAGGAAATGTTATAAGGGAGATTTGAACTCTTCAAAAGGAAGTTTATATACAAATAAGAGGTTTCTGCATTATTAACAAGTCCTGGGAAATTCAAACTATATTATACAATTTCGTGAAATATCAAAAAAAAATCACAGTAAATATGACACCCTTCTACTACTGTGGGTGTTGTAGTAAAACCCCAGGGCACTGTTTATTTTCTTTATTTTTAATTGTTTAGCAGTTAAAGAAACTCCATTTTCAATCTTTATATCTCTACTTTGAACCAGGAAGATTTGAGCTTTGTGTGTCTTTTATTAAAAGGAAAAGAAAATAAGGCAGAAATGGTTGTGTTACTTAGAACATATACTTGAAATTAAACCCAGGTAAAAATTGAGTTTTATTACCTAGAGTATTTTCCTTTATGATTTCAAAATGGATGGCAACATAGAATTAAATATTTCATTTGATCCAGCCTACTTAATAAAACATTGGGAAATTGTTACCAGTAGTGCTGAAAGACTTGAAAAATAGTGGAGGATGAGGGAGGGGAAAAGGCTGAAAAGGCATGAGAGTCAGGTACCTTTGCCTTAGGGAGAGCAAGTACTTATTAAATACTTAAAAAAAAAAAAGTCACTGCTTTGCATCAAAGGAAAGACATCATCCAGGAGAGTAAACTGTGAAACTGGTTTTAAATGCTTTTCAAAATGTGTAGCTAGAAAAAACTACATAGAAGTCTTTTAGTAAAACAGCCTCTCTTCCCATACACTTAAATTGGCAAAAAGAAAAAAATGCTGAGGAAGAAACTGATTTTTAAGGGGCCTAAGTTGCTTCTGAAATAGAACTTTCTATTTTTACCTTTTACGTCTTTATTTTTTAGAGAAATTTTAGGTTTACAATAAAATTGAGAAAAATGTAGAAATTTCCCTATACCCCCTGACCATAAACGTGCATAACCTCCCACATAATCAATATCACTCATCAGAATGGTACATTTTTTACCAAGGAGGAACATAAATTGATACACCGTCATCACTCAAAGTCCATAGTTTATCTTAGTGTTTGCTCTTGGTGTTGTATATTCAGTGAGTTTGGATGAATGTATAATGACATATATCCATCACTTAATATCGTACAGAGTATTTTCACCACCCTAAATATCCTCTGTTCTCTGCCTTTTCATCTCCTCCCTACTCCCTGGCAAACACTGATCTTTTTACTGTCTCCAAGGTTTTGCCTTTTCCAGAATGTCATATAGTTGCAATCGCACAGTATGTAGTCTTCTCAGATTGGCTTCTTTCACCTGGAAATATGAATATAACATTCCTCCATGTCTTTTCATGACTGGACAGCTTATTTCTTTGTAAAGCTGAAAATATTCCATTATCTGGGTGTGTCACAGTTTGTTTATACATTCACCTACTGAAGGACGTCTTGGCTGCTTTCAAGTTTTGGCAATTATAAATAAAGTTGCTATTAATATCTATGTGCAGGTTGTTGTGTGAATACACGTTCTCAGCTCGTTTGGGTAAATACCAGGGTTTGCAATTGCTAGGTCATTTGGTAAGAGAATGTTTAACTTTGTAAGAAACTGCCACACTATATTCCAAAGTAGCTGAAACATTCTGCATTCCCATCAGCAGCATACGAGAGTTCCTGATGATCCACATGCTTGGTAGCATTTGGAATTGTCCCTGTCTCAAATTTTGGCCATGCCAATATGTACATAGTGATACCTCATTGTTTTATGTTGCATTGCCTTCATGACATAGGTTGTGATGCATCCTTTCATATGCTTATTTTCCATCTGTTTATCTTCTTCGGTGAGGTGTCTGTTAAGATCTTTGGCTCGCTTTTAACTTGGGTTGTTTTCTTACTGAGTTTTAAAAGTTCTTTGTATATTTTGGATAATGATCCTTTGTCAGATGTGTCTTTTGCAAATATTTTCTCCCAATCCATGGCTTGTTTTCCTGTTCCCTTGGCATTGTCTTTCACAGGACGGAATTTTTAAATTTTAATGAATTCTAGCTTATCAGTTATTTTTTTCATGGATTATGTCTTTGGTGTTACCTAAAAAGGTATCACTAGACTCAAGGTCATCTAGGTTTTCTCCTATATTATCCTTTAGGAGTTTAATAGTTTTGCATGTTAGATTTAAGTCTTTGATCCATTTTTCCAGTTAATTATTGTGAAGTGTCTATCTAGGTTTTTTTTTTCACTTGAGCATATCCAGTTGTTCCAAAAACTTGTTGAAGAGACTATCTTTGCTCCATTGTATTGCCTTTGCTCCTTTGTCATATACTTATGTGGGTCTACTTCTGGGCTCTCTGTTCTGCTCCATTGATCTGTTTCTCCATTCTTTGCAGCAGTACCATATTGTCTTGGTTACTGTAGTTTTATAGTATGTCTTAAAGTCAGGTAGCATCAGTCTTCCAACTTTATTTTTCTCCTTCAATATTGTGTTCCTTGTGGGGTGTCTTTGCCTCTACATATAAAGTTTAGAATCAGCTTGTCAATGTCAATAAAATAAATTGCTGGAATTTTGATTGGCATTGCACTGAATCTATAGATCAAATTGGGAAGAACTGATATCTTGACAATTGTGAGTCCTCCTATCTATGAACATGGACTATTTCTCCCTTCATTCTTTGATTTTGTTCATCAGAGTTTTGTAGTTTTCCTCATATAGATATTATAAATATCTTTAATATTTGTACCTAAGTATTTAATTTTTAGGAGTAGTAATAATAATCCAGGATAACCTCACTATTTTAGGCTCAGCTGATTAACAACCTAAATTCTATTCACAACCTTAACTTCCCTTTGCCATGTAACATAGCATGTTGAAAGCTTCTGGGGATTGAGACATGGACATCTTTGGGGGGCATTAATCTGCCTAGTCTGGCACAGTACCTAACACATGAAAGACTTGCAAACAATAGTTATAGCATGAATGCATGAAGGAATGAATCAATAAGCATTAAGTGGAAGGTGTGGTAATGTTGGAGAGATCTGGGATGATGTCTAGGAAAAAGATCTATTTACTAGCCTCAAGTAAAAGCAAATAAACAAACCCTTGAATAAACTTAATAGAAACAGTGCTTAAGGTAAAAGCTCAAGGCTGTCTTTGGGGTCCACAGGACCCAATTTCTAAGAGGAAAAGTATCTAAAGGTGGATGGAAGACATAGCATAGGACAGAGAATCTCAAAATTTAGCATGACTCAGAATCATCTGAAGGACTTGTTAACATGATTTCTGGCCCAGTTCTGGTACTATCTAGGTAGGTAGGTCTGAAATAAGGTACAAGAATTTGTACTTCCAACAAGCCCCAAGGTGATGCTGATGCAGTCAGTCTTAGGACCACACTCTGAAAACAACTGGTGTAATAGAAGGGCACATTTTTTTTAAAGGCCAGCCTTTGAGTTCAAATACCTGTCCAGTCATCTATTATTTGTGAGACTTCTGGCAAGTTATTTAGTTTATTTTAACTTGCATTTCTTTGGCTATAAAATGAGAATAAAAACTTGATAGAGTTACTTTAAAAAAGATCATGGATGTGAATATTTACTACTTCATTAAAACATATGTAAATTTCCTGCTCTCTAAACGATACTCAATGAATACCCCCTACTTTCCCCTTGAAATGAAATTACTACTGTTTTCAACAATGAGTGGAAGTAAGAACAGTGGAATAGAGTAGTGTTTAGCATGTCTTCAGAAGTAGAAGCGCGAAGCTCCCAGATTGTGCATTAGGAGGTATGGAAGAATGGTCACTCTCACTTATATGAGGCAGGAGGAAGGGAAGGTTGCTAAGAGTTAAGGTCCTTGTATTAAGACTGGGTAGCAGCTTGAGCCTTAGCTGCAGCTTAAGATCTTGACTGGCTTTAGGCTAATGGTACCAATTACAATAATTAGTACTCTCTTCTGCTTATAAATAATCTTCAAACTTATTAACAGTGGGCCCTTTTAAAATTATATCTGGCTTGAGATGGGTGAGAAATGTTGATTTTAGAATTTTTTTTTAAGGGAAACGCTGTATATTTCTGTTGAGAATTCTCTGGGAAAAAACATCTCCCTTTATGAAGTTTTCCTTTTTTTTGGATCAGATAAATGTGATTTACTTTTATTTTGTAAATATAATATTTCAAAGGTTATATGAAAGTCCCGAAATAACCCAAATCCTCATTATTCTGTCATATATTTCAAAATGTTGCAATTTGTATTGGTATAGTTTCTTCCAGTTGACAATCATCAGTGATTCAGTTTGCAAGTATTATTGCTCAGTGAAATCGTATTAGTAGTTATGCCCTAAAAGTGTAGATCCTGTCTCATTTTACACTGAAGTTATTCTAAAAACTTAGTCTCTTTTGTTCTAGTAAATTGAAATATGCTTGTGAAGCATCAAGCAATATATTTTACAGAATTCAAACTTGGCAACCTTTATTATACCAATTCCATGGTCCAATAAACAGTGAAACTATTTCTAGAAAATTTCTTCCTGCTTCTAGTAGACCTTTTTTGGCGCCATACCAAGATCCTGTTTACCTGGCTATTTGTCTCATCCTTCAGCTGATGAATTTTGGCTGCTAACATTCATAGCTGGCCTCTCTTCAGAGAACTGGCCTCATCTTGCCTTGGAGATAACTGCACCCCCCCCCCAACTTTCATGCCACCATGGCCAATGATGTACTGGTCCAGAATGGTGAGCTTGAAGTACACCTTTTTGATCTGGATCCAGGAATGAGAGGAGAATGTGGAAGGTAGAGAAAACAAGTGCTGTAACCATGGTGAGGGGCAAAGATGGTTGTACGTGCAAAGTAATAAAAAAGTATGGCCTGGTAATCCACCAGCCAGCAGCTGAGAAACAAGATTTGGGATTCCCTGGAGTCTCCTGGTAGACAGAATCAAATTGACCTGAATGTCTTACCTGATGATTTTTCATTAAAAATCAGTCATGGAGAAGAAATCAGACACTTTACTGCAATGATCTATGTTCCCATGTTTAAATATAATTTCCATGTTACTATGTTGTTCTAGTGACCCCCCACCCCACCCTTCTGCTACTGATTATGTAATCACTTTCTCAACAATTGAGAAGTAGAAATTAATTTTCAGTTTGTAATGCTGGGAAAAATCCATGCCCCCTCTCCATCCTAATCTTTCAAATGGATTTGGTGGATTTTATTTTTATAGAGCCATTTAAGATGTCCAGTGTTGTTCTGCCAGTATAAGGAAACACTTCTACCAGAAATAGCAGGAACACCCTATTCAGACTTTGAGCCTTCTCTTCCAGGATTTTTTGACATAAACATACACTGTGCTTGCAGCTTGTACTAATCAACTGCCTCTCTCTGGCCTTAGCACTTTCTTCTGTTCAGCTTTGGACTTAAATACTCCTCACAAAGCATTTCCTCACTCTGCTTTCCTAATGATTAATATTTCTTGGTAAAATCATGTGACTAGCCATGTTTTTAACCCATTTTGGCTAATACTTCTGCCTGGGCATAACTTTGCACCACAGACTCTTTCTCCTTCTGCAGACAAAAGATGCTATTAATTGAAAAAAAGAGTTAAGTGGAAAATCACATAAATAAAATCACCTAAATTCTGTATAATACATCCTGAATTATTCATTATTGAATAGTCTGATTTTTTCCCAGTATTGATAATTTGTTCTTAGAGGGATATTTTTATTTTTCAATTTGCTTGTAAGGGATAATACAAATTCCTCTTCTGGGAAAACCCGTAATTTTATAGATAAGGAATCTGAGGTCTAGAAATGTTAGTATTTTGTATTCACACTTGTCACTTATAAGTATGATTTACCAATTTTACAGTATTTGTGTAGTGTTTTATTGTGTAGTATTTGTATAATATTGTGATTCATATATTGTTTCATTTATCTATTTCACTGTTGATGTGCATTTGAGTTGTTTCCAGGTTTTACTCTCAAAACAATGTTGCTAAGAACTGTTTATATGAACATATAAACAGTTGATTAGTGAAGCAAGAGTTTCTCTAGGTTATTTACCTGAGAGTGGAACAGTTGAAACATAGAATGTATACATTTCCAACTACACACATAAAGCCAAGTTGTTTTCCAAAGTGGTTGTACACATTCTCATCACAGTACATCACAGTTCTAATTACTTCATATCCCCATATAGTCTTGATATTTAAATTTTTTCACAAAATGTTGGGAATGAAATGGTATCTCATTGTGGCTTTAATTTGTATTTTCTTGATTAGTAGGGAGGAGATGGATTATCTGATTATATGTTTATTCATTACTTGGGTTTCTTCTGCAAAGCCCCTAATAAACTATACTGCCCATTATTTTTGGTAGAATTATTTGTCTTTTTCTTATTGACATTGTGACAAAAGAGGTAAAACATGAAAGAATGTGTTGAGTATGATTACATTTATAAAGATGAGAACCAGGAAATGATATTGTCTATGCATGCCTACACATATGTTAAAATTAGTAGCAAAAGTAAGGGAATTATTATCCCCCAAACCAGGATAGTGTTGACATCTAGTGGGAAGGAAGTGGTTATGATTAAAAAGGAGGAACTTGTAGGGGGTGGCTGAGGTGCTGACAGTATTCTAGACTGTGACTTGAAGTTGGTTCTGTGGTTCTCCATTGCATTAATATTTGTTTAATTGTGAATACAGGTGTATGCTCTACTCTGAATATAAACTTGAAAACTGAAAAAATTACAGTTTTCATCGGCATTGTATTGATTAGAAATGCGATTGATTTGTATGTATTGGCATTTTTTATCAAGCAACTTTTAAAAAGCTTTCTTATGTGCAATAAATAAATCTGTAGATGGTGAATTTTTAAAACACAGTGATATTATCTGAGAAAAAGGACAACCTTGTTTTTACCTTTCTAGTCACTTGATTTATTTTTCTTGACTTACTATTCTGGCTTTTAACATCAGTTTGTTAAACAGAAGTCATATCAATGTCCTTGAACTTAAAGGGAACATTCTTCATGTTTTACCATTAATTGTGAGTTTTTAGTAGGATTTGTGGAGCTACTGTTTATCAAATTAAGGAAGTTCTCTTCTATTACTTTTTGAAAATCTTTTTATATTAAAAATTGATGTTAAGTTTTATCAAACATGTTTTCCTTGCCTGTTGAGCTCTTACTATCCAATATTATGTTTTGTATTTCCACAAGTTCAGTATGAGTATTTTTAAGAACTCTTTGCTCCTTTTTATATTTCCTTATTTTTCTCATATTAGGTACTTCTTTTGTTTTTTAAGTCTATCATTATACTTATTTTTATGTTTTTTCTAGCAATTAAAATATATGGAATATCTGCAGGTCTGATTCCACTATCTAATGCTTTTCCTGGTTTTCATATATTATATTTTATTTTGTGTCTTGTAACTGTTTAATTGAGTTCCTAATTCTAGAAAGTCTACCTCTGGGAATCTTTTGAAGACTGTGTTTTATGTGAGTTTATCCAGAGAGTATTTTCATTTTCTTCTGCAGGCTACCAGGAGGTCTTGCCAGCTCTGAACTCTTGAAATTCTTGGCTAGAAAATTTTAGACTGCTCCTATAGTGAGAATTCAGGCTGTAACTGCACATGAGGGCTGAGTTTTGGCTACAAATTTTCCGGGAAGATTATTTTTCTTCCCCTGCATTTAATGCCAAAGTTCAATTAGACATTTTTCTTTGCATTATTCTGGAGGCAGGGAGGAAGGGAGGAAAACTTGCTTCTAGTATATTCTTATTTTGAAGGTATAGTTCCTAGGGACCCCAGATCTTTATGTTGGGGGTATTTCCTATTAGACACCCCAAGTTGGCTGACCGCTGGGCTTTGCTTCTGAGTCTTGAAAGGATCTGAAAACCAAAGTGCAAGTTCATCTTTTTGTCAAGTGTTACAAAGTTGAAAGCCATCCCTGAACTTACTTTCCCTCTGGGTTCCAGCTTACATTTATTTTATTGGCCTCTGAGTGTTTCTTTACCAATTTTTCAACTCTTAGATGAAGTTAAAATATTTTTAAATATTTTATCCAGTATTTTTGTTGTTTTTTTTTTCCATTGAAAGGTTGCTTGGGTTACTTACTCTGCTCAGATGCCAGAAGCAATAACTTAAACTTTATGATTTCTGACCTCTCTTTCAACTTTGTGGTTGGTGCTATGTTCATTGTATTAAAGATTTGTGGTTGGTAAGTGCTATATTTCTAAAGAGAAATAACTTGTGAGAGCAAGCAATATAATTGTCCACTCATGAGAGGCTTTTGTGCCTCATGTTCCCATAGCTTATGCATCAGTGTCCTTGCCCTAGGCTGTTCCATTTAACACATACGGGATTTTGTAGTTAAATGGTAAATTCATTTTAAACAAAACTCCATTTTCTAACCATTTCCTAGAATGCAGTAACGATGCCTTGATAATTGTTGAAACTTCCTTCTTTTGATAAAAGATAGCCTTCTAAAATAATGTCATAATTCACATGGTTTAACATTAAACTTTTAAGTATACAAACTTTTTTTAGAAATTAAATACCTCTTATTCTGTTAAATATACATTATTTTCTTGACAGGAGTATGGTCTTCTTAATTATATATGTGTGTATTCTTAAATCATATTCTAGGTTATCTGTAGTTATCTGCATTTTTTTTTCCAGCATTGCTTTTTTAAAATTGAAGTATAGTTGATTTATAATACTGTGTCAGTTTCTGGAGTACAATAGAGTGATTCAGTTACATATATAATTTTTCAAATTATATTCCATTATAAGTTATTATAAGATAGAATACAGTTCCTGGTGCTATACAGTTAATCCTCATTGCTTATCTGTTTTACTAATAGTAGTGGGTATCTGTTAATCCCAAACTCCTAATTTATCCCTCCCGCTTCCCTTTCCCCTCTGGTAACCCTAAGTTTTTTTGTGTCTGTGAGTCTGTTTCTGTTTTGTACATAAGTTTATTTTTATTATATTTTAGGTTACATATACAAGTGATCTCATATAGTATTTGACTTTCTATGTCTGATTTACTTCAGTAAGTATAATAATCTCTAGGTCCATCCACATTGCTGCAAATGGCAATATTTAATTTTCTTATGGCTGAGTAATATTCCATTGTGTGTGTGTGTGTGTGTATGTGTGTGTGTGTGTTACATTGTGTGTGTGTATATATATTTACATACACACACACCACATCTTCTTAAAACAATCGTTTGTTGATGGGCACTTGGAGTGTCTTCATGTCTTGTCTATTGTAAATAGTTCTGCTATGAACATTGGGATGCATGTATCTTTCCAAATTACAATTTTTGTCTTTTCCAGATATATGCCCAGGAATGGGTTTGCTGGATCATACGGTAGCTCCATTTTTACTTTTTTAAGGAACCTCCGTACTGTTTTCCATAGGTGGCTGTACCAGTTTACATTCCCACCAGTGGTATAGGAAGCTTCCCTTTTCTTCATACCCTCTCCAGCATTACTTACTTGATGATGGCCATTCTGACCAGTGTGAGGTGATACCTCATTGTGGTTTTAATTTGCATTTCTCTAATAATTAGTGATGTTAAGCATCATCTCATGTGCCTGTTGGCGATCTGGATGTAATTATTATTTGTGCAATAATAGTACAAACCTCACAGAATTGTGATAATTTCATGAGTATACATATGCGAATGTTTTTGTACATCATAAAGCAACCAAGTTTGCCCAATGTATTTTATGGAATCAAATTTTATATCATCTGAATTTTTGTATTGTAGCACTTTAAAAATCATAGGAGAGAAGTTTATTTTTCTTTCTAAGTTATGAGCTTAACGATGAAATATGCTTTGATTTAATCAAGTGGAATCTCTAGAATTTAGCACTGTGCCCTGAATATGATATAGTAAACGTTCAATCACAAAGAATATTTAATTGGTAATAAATGAGATATAATGTTAATAAGATGGCTGTTGATACAGCTTATGTCATAGAAACATTCTTTTTTTCAGGGATATTTATTTAAACTAGGGATTTCTCATGTCTTTTGCTTTTTTCCTTCCATATTTTGTGTCTGCTAAAGAATGTAACAACTTTAAAATAACAGAACTTTGTGGTGAAAGGGCAATGTTACAAGGACTTTCCCATGTGTCAAATGGGAGAGTTTGATTGAATAATGTGAAATGTTTTCCCCAGTTGTAAGATCCTGTGAGGTTTGATGTTAAATGAAGTGTAGACTTAATGGTGCTAACATGGTCACCTTTTAGCCTAGAAAATGCATACTGGAAGACATAAAGGCAAATATATGCAAATGTGAAAAATCTGCAGACACATGCAAATTTTCCTTTGTAATATTTGTCTTACCCACTTTTCAAAATAGAACTGTGCAAGCCCCTACTTCTAAATAATTTTACTTGGATTTCTTTTCTAAGGCATAACCCATTGTTTCATCCTTTCTCTTAGCATCAAAAGATATTTTCTTTGGATATAATAAATTTGGGGCCATTTTCTCTAATTTCCAAGGTTACAACTGGATAGCCCAATAAAATAATCCATGAGATGGTGTTAATGTATTTTTGGAGATGAAATTATAGCCAGATTCAGTCTATTATGTTGTCCTGAATTATTTAAATATAATGTAGTATTATTGTGATTGTTGTTTTCTCAGAAATAATGAATTTATTTTTAGGAATTTCAAACTCGATTGTAATGAGGGTAGTGCCTAAGACCTCAAAGTGAATAGAAATCTTGAGCTCAGCAGATTGGAAACATTCTCAGTTTGTAAGTTTCCATTAGGCTTATGGATATGTGGAGGATGTTTAGTTGAGCACCAATTATCATTTATATATCTTTAATTTCTTTAAACATCTACTGTCTAGAATAGTACTGTGAACAATACTGGTCTTAATAAATGGTTAATAAGTACTTCATGATTGAGAATTGGCTGTATTTCAAAATTAATATTTTACTTGGGGAAATCAAAGAGTAGGAGCCTCATTTAATCCTTCCATTGCAAATATTATTTCACTTAGAAGGCGTATCTTTTTAATATTTAGTTCAAATTCATGAATGGTGTCAAATGACACTCCATTTACGTTTTGATAACTAGAATCATTGCTTTTTAAGATCTTTTCCATTTTCTATACTTGTACATTAAAAGCAAGAAAGAAAAGCAAATGTTAAATGTTAAGGAAACATTCCAAATATTCCTGGAGAGACAACATTTTGTTGTCAACTTAGATTGTGAAGTGAATGGATAGAAATCAAAATGCAGTTGCAAGAGGTAGTCTTTTGAGACTTCTATCGATGTCCATATTACCCATAAGGAGTGCACACGTTATCTGTGTGAACTATTGTATGGCTGTAGATCGAGGGATTTTACTCTTTTGCTATCAGACTCCCTTTAGGCAGTGAATCAAGAGAATATAAACTGGAAAACCTACAGATAAGGGATTTTTGAGTACTTATAAATAATTCATTCATCGTTTATAGCATTTAAATGACTATAAAATGTTACTGATCTATGGGCATGTCATGCTTTTTCTTTTCACGTCAATTTCTTGGTTTCTACGTGATTTCCTTTTCTAACTTTTAAAAAAGTAAGATAAGAAGTTATTGTAATATACATTGTTTTCACAAACCATTGTTTGGTAACAAATCATTTAGAATTTTATGATGTTAAAGAGATCAATCACATAAGAATAGAAATTACTACAGTATGGTTTGATTGTAAATTCTGCATTCTGTGCCTGTTTTACAACATATTCAGAGTTTACACATTAGGAAAATTCAATTTAAACATACTTTTGCTCAGAAATTCTTAGCTATACTGCTTCCTTCTATGCCATCCCTTGCATTTGGCTTTGGCAAAAATAGACATGACATGAAAGAAATTGATACCACAAATTCGGGAAACAAATAAGACTGGGATGACAAGCTGATAGCACATAGCCAACTAGTGACCTCCTCATACCAATAATACTCATCACTGATTAAACAGAGCATTTTTCACCCTCTCCTCATCAAGCTGTGGCACCTTTAAACAGCACTCTTGAGAGACACTTGCTTTCCAACAGAGGTAGGAAAAATTCTAACATCATTTGCCATCACTAATTGAAAAAGAAATGTTTGGGGAATAAAGACTCAGTTTAATTTATTCCACATTTTACAGATATGGTTTTAAGTAAGAGGTGGATCTTCAGAATGAAAATGGAGGCAATATATGGACTGACTGATTATTAATTCTTTATTGAGTCCTGAGTATGTATCACACATTGAACTATACTCTGAATAAACAAAGATAGATTAAGAGAAGACCCTTGCCCTCAGTCTATTAGGAGTGCATATAAATAAACAATTTCAGTATCAAGTAATAAACCATTGAATTGATGTAGAAGATGCTATGGGAGCACACAGAAAAAGGGAAGCAGTATGTTACTGCCAGGAATACCTAAAGATGACTTTTACTGACAAAGTAATAATGTTTGAATAGGTCCTGAAAGATGAGTAGGAAAATGGGGTGGGGAGATGGACAAGTACAAGACCACTCCAGGAAGAAATAATGATTGGGCAAAAGAACGATTATGATCTTGATTATAATCAAGTAGATTATATTGAGAAAGATGAATCTTTTGATGAGGCTAGATGGCAGGAAGAGAGAAAAATTTGGTGATTCCAGGTTAGAAAAGGTCTTAAATATCATATTAAAGAGTTTGAGTTTTTTCCTTTAGGCAATGAGGAGAAACTAAAGATTTTAAGCAAAGGGAGGTATGTGGTAACTTCGTTAACAGAATGAAAGATGAAGAGGTCCTGGTGGCTACTTAAAATACTACTTAAAATAGTGATCTCCCAAATGGAATGAGCATACCCTAGGGAATTTTAAATGATCCATTGGAATATGGGAAGATAATCTTAGAATATTTCTTTTTATTTAAAAATGAGTAAGAGATTAAGCTTTCTCATATTTAATATGTAGATCAACAGATATATTTAGTCATTTAAATATTTAGATATAGTTATAATGGGGTTGTATATTCAAACATTTTTCTTTACTGATACAGCTGTGCACTTTTAGAGCTACTCTTCACCCTTGTCTGTCTTGACTATAGGCTAAAGAGGCTGACTTCAATGGTCTGCTTCTCCTCTCTGGCTTTCAGTTGGATTCAGCCAATGAAGAGTAATGGCAGAAGACTGAAGTGTGAGTAGAGAGAGAATTTAGGGAATTTATCCCCCTGGCTTCCTCCTTGCTAATATGAAAATTTGCTAGTGATTGATCCCCTCTCCTAGGACACCAGTTTCTGTTGGGCAGAAGAAAAGAGAGGAGAGGAGAGGAGAAAAGACTGAGATGTAGGCTATATTAAAGTAATGCTGCTGTCCAATTTGATAGCCATTTAGCCACATGAGTCACATATGTGACTGAGAAACTGAATTTTTAATTTTACTTAATTTTACTAAATTTGTTAAAATTATATTAAATTTATATTAAAATTGGTACTTGATTCAATTATTGGGAAATTTTATTTGAACCAAACTATTTTGGAACAACTTGAGTAAATTTTATGATACGTAAATACAGATCAAATATTTCTGATGAAGACTCAACATCCAAATTGAAATCGGTTGTAAAAGACTAAATTTTGAAAACTTAGTATGAAAAAAAGTAAAAAACAAAAAAGTCATTAATTTTTATGCTGACTTCATGCTGAAGTGACAATATTTAGAATAGACTAGATTCAATAAAATGTATAATTAACAATACTTTTACTTCTTTCTTTTTATATTTTTGATGTAGCTGTTAGAAAATTTAAAATTACAGATGTGCCTTACAATACATTTATATCAGACAGCACTGGATTAAGGAGATAGAATATTTTCCCACCATGGATGAAGCAGAAAATTTTAATTAAAAAGTCAGAGATGAACTTCTGGTCCAGACAAAATGGCATCGACGTTTTTCCCCTGATCTTTCCACTAAGTATAACTATAAACACTGGGAAAATGCAAGATACAATCAAAGGGGAACCCTGACAGGTGGGAAGAGGAAGGAAAAACTGGTTAGAGAATGGAGAAACAACATAGTGGCAGGGTATCCTTAATTCTACCTGATGTTATAGCTTATCATATAGCTCTGGTAATCAAGGCTGTGGCA